TGTCAGGAGCGGCGCGGCCGGGACTCGGGGTACTCGGGGAAGCCGGTGTGCTGGCCCGCCGCGGGGAGAGGGATTGGTGTTGAAACCGTGCCTTGGTTTTTGTTGGTTTTCTGTGTATGTGTTTTGGGGTTTTTTTTGGTTTTACCTTCCTTAGTAGACAGCAGAAGTTTGTTCCTTTTTTTTTTTTTCCCCCGGTGCTTGTTATAGCAGGTCATCAGCATATAGTTCCAGGTTTGTTTTGTAAAAGCAGAAAATTCAGGAAACTGAATAACTTGGTGGTTTTCTGACTGTGAAAAAGGACGAGCTTTTCAACAAATATTTGAGGTGGCATTAGGAGCACGTTGTGCAGTAGCAGCCAAACTGGAGTTCGGTTAGGGACTGAAGTGGGAAGTTGAACAAACAAGGACTTCCCTCAAAGGTTCCCTCGTGTATGACACTAACACGTGATTTTATTTTCCCTAGGTTGTGAAGTTTTTGTTACTTTGTGGCATTTTTTTCTTCCACAAGCGAATTTCAGTGTTGACAGTTCATTTTGCTTCAGCATTAACTTTGTTGCAAAGGTTTAGGCAAAGAGCTGTGTGGTATCTCATCCATTTAAAGAATAATTGTAGTGAGAGGGAGATTTTTTTTTTTAAAGTAAGAAATTCTCTGTGTTAACACACAGTTATGGAAGAACATACTGAGGTACTGCTCAGCTTGCCATGCATCTAACTAGCTTCCAACTCATGACTTCTTAATTTTCCCTTGTGGTGTTACATAATTACATTAGACTTCTCATCCACATTGTGTCCCTGGCCATACTTAAAATCATGTTTAGGAACAATATGAAACTTGATTATTTAAGGTAGGTCGGAGTCTAGTTATTAGAACTCGAGATGGCTTATATACACATGGATGTGTGAATCCTATTGTAACTTTTGTCCACATATGAATTTAAGTATGCAGTCTTTCTACAAAGGGGATTAAAATTGTGGCATTTTATTTTTCCCGAGGTATGACTTCTGGTTTTGTTATGTATCTCTTTCATTTTCCATTTAAATTGCGTAAGGTTTGGATTTTGCACTTGTTTCCCAAGTAACCAAATTGTTGATTTTCAGATTTTGCAAATAGCTTTATTTTCGCCTAAGAGGTTTTGTACTTTCAAGTGTGTATCTCTGTTGAAGTCAGTGTGTTTGGAACCTCATAATCCCTTTCACGAATGCAACACAAAATCAGTAAGTGAATGACCTGTAGTAGTGTTGTGATTGGTGCAATGCTCAAATATGTCAAGGAACAAAATGGTGAAGTTGAACTGCTTGAACCCTACGGTGTGTTTATCAAAGTTTGCTGTTAGAGGTCAGTGGGACTTGTATTTCTTCACTGTGTCAGAGGTGTCTGACTAAGGTGACTTAAGCATTATGGTGTGTGAGATTTCAAAAACATGCAAGTACTTGTAGGTATCTGTGTCTGAATACTTCTTTGGGTTTCCCTCTTCTGTCAAATTTTCACATCTAAGTTCAGAAGAGTAAAATGCTTACAAAGCCTTTGCTATGGTATCTGAAACACTGAGTAGTGTTTAATATTACAGCAGTGCTCTGCACCACTGTGTGCTGAAACATGTGCACATGGATTTTCGGTGGGGAGTGTTCACAGTGACTGATAGATAAGGTTGTAAATGTGTGTCAAAGTGAAATCCTTGGAGTAAGCGCTTTATGATTTGTTAGTATCAGGTCTATTGATTCTGAGCGTGATATTTTGATATTCCATTCCTTAGTTAGATATTCTGATTGAAATCTGTGGTAGGCCATGGTTTTCAAAATCTATTAAAAAGAAATTAAAAACCCCCGTGGATTTAAAACCACAGCGAGATAGCTGCTTCCTGTTCTGCTAGTTCTTGGAGAGCAATTTAAAATGGAATTTGTTCACCAGCTTGTCCAAAGGAAATAGTGAAAATCAGAGTGGCTCTCACAGGGATGCCTCTCCGGTAGGCTGGGTGTATTTCTGACAGTTAGTTTAGTTGATACCATCTATGATCTTGTCCTTTCTGCAGAGTTCTTCACTTTGATTTAAGATGGAATTGTTGAAAAAAGAGAGCACGCTAGGAATTGTGTTGGTTCTTGTATTTAAAAAATCGTTCACTTGCCACAATATTCTGTCCGTATGTATTTCACTGCTAACATGCATTAATATAAGAACAATGAAAGTCGATGCTTCTGAGGTATTTTTTTGTTGTTGCCAATCTTTGCAGTGCCATCTGTAACAGTCAAATTTATTTGAATCGGTTTGGAGGGATGTGCCTTCAGGATCAATGGGATGCTTTGGCAAGATATTTACTTCCATTGCTGTGTACCTGTAGAATAGGTGGTGTTTTCATGTTTTAACTTTATTTCAGGAAAACAGTTTTGTGTTGGCAGCCGTTATTTAGATCCATAATGTAGTTTCAGTGAGGTAGTATTCCAGGTTTTAGGGACAATTAGGTTTTTTTCTGTTTTCACTTGGTTGTGGTGTAGTGCTGTGTGTCCCAGAGAGCAGTGTGAGCAGTTCCTGTCCTCTTTCTGATTGGAACTTTGTTGACCTGTTGCAGGTAGTGCTGGACTGTTTTTATTTTCTAGCTGGAATAAATAAGGGCTATTAGGGGAAGTAGACTATTTGTCAGACTGCAGGAGAGCCTGTGCAGGTGTTATAACAAGCTCTGGGGTCACAGGGCACTTTTTTCTGTATCCCTTGGGAGCAGAATGCAGGTGGAGATGTCTGGAATGGCTGAATATGGATACCAGTACAGCGCTTGCGTTCTGAGGCACAGAGTAGATTTGTCTAAATGTTTCTCCGTAGTATTTAAAAGTGCAGAAGTGCTGCTGGCAAGTGTTTAGTTAATGAAAAAAAGAATGGGCTTGGAATAATTTTCCTTTTCAAAGATGTTTCTCTCTGTGTGTGTGTGTGTGTGTGTACACAATCTCATTATGTTTGTTGCCTACATTTAGATAGTGTTTCTTCCAAAGTGATTTATACATTTGCATCAAATTTCCCAGTCAAGTTCTGTGATGAATGAATAATGAATGCTCTAGATAAAAATCATAATTACTTGTCATTTAGAAAACATCATCTTTCTTTATGCTTAGGTAGGTTTTTTTGTAAGCGTATGTTCACTTCATATAGTACTTATCCAAATGATGTTCTTCAGACTGGTTGTCTTGTAGTTGCAAGTTTTTTTCATAGTTTTTGGGTGATGATTTTTGTGCAGTTTCTGCCAGTTTCATCTTCAGCCAAGTGATTGCTGCTTGTTGTCTCCCATTTACCTAACCAAATGTCACAATACATTAAATGCAGAATCACCTATGAGACAGGAGGTAGAGGTGTAGGGTTGTTCATCCATTCCCTGAGACACAAAAGGTTTTAAACTAGTTAGAAGCATCCAGCACTCAATTAAACATGGTGATGTTTTTCAGAATGGACTTGGGCTATAAATGTTTATGTAATCTGTGTTGGCCTATGGCTGCCTTTGTAGTCTGTCATTTGACTGATTCCTGAATATGTATTTCAGGAGTTGGTGTGTATGCCACTGACTTAAGCATCTCTGTATTTAATGTTTTTTTTGGAATGTTCTTTCTCTGGGTCAGTTATGAGAAATGAATATTTAATCTCATGGCAGATGGATATTGGCCATGTTCTGGCTAATGAAGTGCTGGACGTTTTTGTGCTTTCTTGGACAAGAAGGAATTTCTTTTGCTTTAAGTCCCCCTCCTCATCTCCAATACAAGGTCAATTTATAAATTAGGGTTGGATATTACTTCCTCCAGAAGTTACAGGTCTTCACAGCACTCATAGTTCATCAGATTGGAAACTAAGAGCATGGCAGTGTTCTGAGACAGATTTTGGTCTGTTAATATTTCTAGTAGATTTTTATCAGACTGACAAAAATTGACACCTGGAAATTTAGAGGCTTAAACAGGATCTAGAGTGATAGTTCACTCTATTAAATGGTACCTTAACAAGTCACTCCATACTGTAGGGGGATCCCACTTTGGAGGATGGGAAGATAAGTATTCTGTCAGCTGCTGTCTTGCAAGTAAAGGCTGATGAATGATAATTGCTCCAGCAGTCCCTCCTGTGATCGTTCTTCTTACTGCAGCCACCAACTCCTCTTGCAAACCTCCTCTTGTTTCCCACCCACCGCACTTCCACTGCCCGCAGCTGCTCGGTGCTGCTGTCTTCTGCCTCCTTGGCAGCATGAAGCTAATACTGTTCGTGGTACTTTCGCTGCTTGTCTGGAGGGTATTAAACTGGAGCAATGACACTGATCACAATCTCGCTGCCCTGACTTTGTGGTTTCATGAATAAGTCGCTGAGCAGCGGCAGCAAAGGACTAACTTGGGTCTGCTCATGGAATTGAGGGAGAGTTTTAAAAAGCTTCAGTAGCCAACTCACTGTGGTTAGATGTGCACACTTCCCATCATGGTCAGGGTTGTCATACACCAGTTACAGCTTCTCTGCAAAGTGCATGTGTTGTTCTTTGTTCAGCCAAAGGAGCAAAAAGAAATTTCCAAAGTTGAAACTGAGGTAGTTTGGGACTATTTCTTCTCTTTCTTACTCCATGTTGCTGAGTATTTACTTGCCTCTTCCAAATGACTTGTAATCTTTGATTTAGATATGAATATAGCAAAATTGTATGGGATTTCTTACTCACTTTTCTCCTTTTTTTTTTTTCTTTCCCCCTCCGCTTGTTACCGTTGCCTTAGGCTAAGCCATGACTTCAGGATCTGGGCATGTGGACTCCAAGGCTGAGCTCACTGCTTTGCTTGAGCAATGGGAAAAAGACCATGGCAGCGGGCAAGACATGGTCCCTATCCTTACCAGGTAAGATCTATTAAATAAATCCCTAAATCTGAACTTACTTGGCAGCAACTTCAACCGTGTTTTTGCTCGAGGTTTTTACACGCTTGATTGCATGTTGGTAATTCATTTTCTTGTCTGGAAGTTGAATGAAAAATGTGGTATTTAAATACAGACAATTTTTGGTAATAAATACATATCACAAAGATCTTACACATGCTGAATTTTGCTCTCTGAAATAGTAGAAGCCAGGGTACTCATTAAATAGTTGTGAAGTAGCTTTGATATCTTCACCTGCAGCTTATAAAACATAGATCAAGGTTGAAAGCTATGAGAATGTTGTTCCATCAGAGTGGCGGTGTGGGTTTTGTGATTGTAGTAGTATTGGTCAGATCAAATAAAAGGATGAGAGTGACCCGTTGGATAAATCAAGAGCATTATATTGAAAATCTTATTGATGCTTGTAGGGTATGTTTAAAGTGAAATTTTAAAACTTGATTAAATTTTTTAAAACTTGATGATGATTGACTGGCATTGTGTTGCATGGGTGAGGAAAATACTGGAGCAATAAATTATTTTTAGGGGATGTGTAGGTACTAGGAACACCATCATCTATTACAATAGAAACATTTGAATTATCAATTGCATTTGTGGTTTCTCAAGCCAGGCTTTGCTTGGGGAAACTGTTACTCTTGCTTTGCAGGAGATTTACAGAAATTCCACCCAGTTCCTCCTCAGGACACTGCTGGCAGACCCGTGGCCTGCCCAGCGTGTGCAGAGGGACTTAACTGCACTTGTATATTAAGAGTGATCCAGGTTTCTGTATACTGCGCTGTTCTGTGTTGTGGGGTCAGACAAGTCGGTGCAAGATTCTGAGCTGGCACTGGGTGAAACCGACTGGATCCCGGTGGAGCTTCTTTGCGCAGATCTGTGCCCTGCCTTACCTAGTGGGCACAGATTTTCTGCTGTTCTCACTGTGTTTTAAAAATAGCAGCACAGAAGAGAAGGTGAGCAGTAGAAACCTGGTCCTAAGCACTTGAAAATGAGTAGGTCTTTTGAAAATAATTTTTTGTGTATCTTTGTGTTGTCTGATTTGTGGCTTGAAGGAAGCATGTATGCTAGTTCAAGGCTTTTTCTTGCAGGCATAAACAGCAGAAATTTATTATATTCTCAGAAACATTAAGACATTTGAATTAAACATGTCTTTTCTTGTGTTTATAGCAGTTTGGCACTTCTTGCTCCCCCTCAGCTCCTAGAGTTCCTTACGGTATTTATGCCCAGACAATTCTGATAACTCTCAGTCCTCCCAAGGCTTCTGTGTAGCAGGCAGGTGGTTATGGATGGTGAAAGCTTGGGTATTTTGGCTTTAGTGGCATTAGAGATTTATTTAAGGTAGATAGCAAAGGGGTCTACTAGCTCTGGCAGAAGTTGGGTTTACAGTGCTTCAGGTAGCAAAGAAGGCCATGGGTGTGTTTGGAGTAGAAAGTTTTAGGTACAGCAGCGTAGATTTAGAAGATTTTGCTGGAAGAGGTGGTAGGAATCCCGACCACCTGGAGCTTGCTGATGCCCTGAGGCAGAGAAGTGCCCTTGCATATTGTTGTGGACTTAGGACAGAGGAAGCTGTGGTCGTGCTTGTTGGTGAGTGACGTTTTTCTATTTCCTTCCGCCTTCTGAGCTAAATAGAAGAAAACCTCCCTGTGTGAGTGGGGGTCCATTAAAGGTGATGCCAAGGCAGCACATGTGAGAGTGCAGCAGTGAGTATTTCAACAGTGATATGACAAAAACCAGCAACAGTGTGCTTTGTAGGCCACAGCTGAATTGTCACTTCCAAATAAGCTAGTTTTCTGGATTTTTTTTCAGAGCATCAGAAGGTGTGAGTTGAAGAATTTGCTTTGAAAGCATGTTAGCAAACAACAGATATTCAATATATATGATTTTTCAAAATATTGTTAATTGGAATTATCCTGCAAGAGCGTTAGTTCATAGTCTGGATGCAAGTCATGTCCAGCCATTCTGGCAATTCCTATGAGTCAGATTGTTCACTGCATCCCAAGACCCTCCTTCATTAAAGTAGTAAATTAGCAGCTTGACATCATACTTCACAAACCAAATGTGTGGTGGTGTGAGATCCTAGAGCATCTTGCTGTTTCAGTCTGTTGTAAAAGCTCAAGTTGGTCTTTAATGGCCCATGACGGCAGGACAGTGTTAGGATGGCTTTATATTATGTATGGCGTCTGGATCACTGGGAGTTGGGTCTTGTGGAGTTGACACACTTTTAGGTATAGCACTGCTCCTTCCTTCCCCACGCCAAAAGAGAGCTCAGTGTGTGGCAAATGAAAATCAGAATCTGACTAATTCTCCAAAGATTATGGCAAAGACAAGTTGTAAAGGGGAAAAAAAAATTAGAAGTGAGGGGAAGAACTGCTAACCCTATGTAAAACCTAGATCTTGTCTGCAAACTCTGAGGTGGCTGGTGAACTGGTACAATGCCAAGTGAACAAAGAAAATCTCAAAACCTAAGTAAAACTTCAGTGGTTTTGTGATTTTTTTTTTTTTAATTTTTATTTTTTTTTTTAAACCCCTGTGTGTACCATGTGCCTGTGTTATGAGGCAGGAATTAGCTTTGTTAGTTATTTGACTCTCCTGTTGCTTCAGCTGAGAGTTGACAAAGCTGTTGATCTGGATAGATTCACCCAAGTCACTTCACAAACCACCTTTATGTGTGTTAGTTAAAAGAAGGGCATCGTAAGCAAGATTGACTTTGTTTTGAAAGTTGATTTTAAAGAGGCAATGCTTTTTTGTTTTGGTCAAACGATTGTGGCTAATTGTCTCAGAAAACACTGTAATTGGTGATTCACGTGCCTGTTTCATCTGGGCTGTGATAATGCTGTCATCCCTGAAACCATTCGGCAGCTTCAGCTGGCACGCTGTTTGGCTGCCTACCTAAACAGGATGAGAATGTTACGCTTGCTTTCCATGCTACTTGTTTGTCCTTTCTGGCACATAATCAAAATGCTGATTATCACCCAAAAAGACCTGACAAGACTAGGGTGCAGCTTCTCAACTCTGCGTTTGTCCCAGTTGACTGTCAGCAGGCACCCCTCAGTCTGTTTGTTCTCACGGAAAAATTAAAGAGCTGGCAGTGGAGTATTTAAGTAACTTGCTTTTGCCAGAAATTCATGAGAGCTCAAGCTGTGCCACCTGTTAGCAAGGGACACAATTTGTGTCTCTTCACATTCAGGCTTACAAAAAGTAAATATTAGAATGCCATAGGATAAACAGTTTGCTGAAAGGTAATTGTCACATCAGAGACAAGCAGCAAAGTTCTCTGCTCGTTCCTGATGAGCTAATTTGCTGTGCCTACGGTCTGGGCAGGCTTTATAATGTCATCCTCTGTCATACTGGCAAGTGTGGTTCAGAGAGGCAGGACTAAGTACATTTTTGCCTTTTTAATTGTCCCTGGAAACACAGGGTATTTTCTGGAAAGTTACAGGAATGGAGTAAGGGATATCTCCTGCGAAAGACAAATATTTTTGCAGGGATTACTGCAGCTTTCTAGCAGTTTTCCCTCCCCTATGATAAACTCTGCCTGTATCGCTACCCTGAGGTATTAAGATCTCTTTTGAAAATGGTCTGCTGCGCATCCATTCAGCACCCCACTCTAGACCTCAAGTAGAGGGGACAGAATGGGGAAATAATATTCAATTTGCTAATATTTTTTGACTACTGCTCTTGATTTCACCTCAAACTGTATAGATTTCTACTGTAACACTTCCTGGAGAAAGACATGGGGTTATTTATTGCTTGACCATGGGATAATCCTCTTCTTGATTTTGTTTAAATAAAAATAACAATTCATTCCCTTACTGCTCATTCTGAATGAAGAAGGACATTCTTGTATCTGCTGAGGCTGCTTCTCAGTGCAGGAGAAGGCACAGTTTCAAAACAACCTGCAATTATTTTCTGATGTGGAGGAGCACTTACGTTTTTTGAAGATCTGTGAATGGGGGAGCTGGCTAAGTTTCTCCTTGTCTTGTCCATTGCAGTAACTGACACATGCTAAAAAGCTGAGCTTTGATGGAGCTGAAGGAATAAGCCAGATAGAGATTACACAACACTTTAGTAATATTGTGTGATAATAAAAGACTTTAGTAAAACTTAATATGCCAAATAACCAAAAATTGTGTAAGCAGTTTGAGCAGCTGCTCCTGTACACACACTAGATAGGAAGGAGGACTAAGTCACCTGTTCAGGACTTACTTTACTGCAAAAGAAAGTCTATGTGATGACGGGAAGTGCTACTCAAGCCCTTTATTTACTCTAGTTCTCTACAGTGTGTGTTATAGAGCATCACTAGGATTCTAACAGGACTAAATGAAGAGTGTTGGTCCCTCCAGAGTGTCGTGCTTGTGCATCATTGGGGTGTATATGTGGATTTGACTGTTCTGGAGTGCAGTGCAGGGGATGAGATGTCAGAGGCAAGTCGCTTTTCTCACCACTCTGTGAACAGTCTGAAACCCTCTGGTGGCACTGAATATTGTTGAAATGAAAGTTGATGAGCTGTTCTGTAGTATTTTGACAGATAGGCTGTTGTGAGGAGCTGTGCACTAGAAGATCAAGTGTGAATTCTGTTCATTTGATGTCATTCCTTCTGCAGAATGTCTGAGCTGATTGAGAAAGAGACTGAAGAGTACCGCAAAGGGGATCCAGACCCTTTTGATGACCGACATCCAGGTAAGATGTCTTGAAAAGCTTTGGCAGCACCAACTCTGACACAACAGATACCTGGTAATTCATATTGAAGATTAAGCAGTTTTTAGTGTGAATGTGCCCACTGCTGATCAAGGCCTGACACTGCTTTTGCACTGGCTAATTATGCTCTGTGGTGCTGGCATCTGGCAGTTTTGATGTTTGCTGCAAGATTTTGAGGCCCTGGGTAGAGTTCCAGAAGAGTGTTTGAGAGGCTGATTTATGACATAAGGGTATGATCATGTTAACAAGTAGCTGATGTGAAGCAGTAGATGTTAGCTGGACAGAGAAAGTAGTCTGTCTCAGATTATTGTGAATTTGCTGTTGGGTAAGTGCAGCGCTTATAGAAATGTTACATACACCACTGATGTTTTTTATCTTGGATGTTGTTTTTGGTTTTGTTTGTTTAAGATTAATTATATCCAAGTTACTGGAACAGTTTGCCTGGCATCTGCATCTTCACTGTCTACAAACAATAGTAGTCCAATACTACTGGGTTGCTAAAATGTGTTGTGCTTTGACTACTAGGCATTCCAGGAAGGTAATACCTACTAGAAGAAAATGTTAAGTTGGTGAATAATTCGTATGGTTTCCGATGTAATTTTTCCTCTGAGAAAGGTCCTGCTAACTAGAGTATTTCACAATCAGTTTGAAGATAGCAGTTCAATATTAATCTGAGGTAGGTAGATAAGTCTTTTCCTGTTTCTCTCGCAGGTCGAGCAGACCCGGAGTGCATGCTTGGCCACTTACTGAGGATACTTTTCAAGAACGATGATTTCATGAACGCGGTAGGTTTGCTCTGAGAGCTGCATCTGTCAATTCCTGACACCTTCTAATGGTTTTTGTTTACTCTGTACTGGTTGACCTCAGTACTTGTTTGGTATTTGTTTTACTGATGTGGGACTATCTCTTCTGTAGCAGTGGTTTTTAAAATGGATTTAAGGGCGACTCATTTCCCACTGTTAAAGTGACTCAAGAAAAGGGAGTTCATGAGCTGTTCAAGACTGCTGGAATATGTATAGTAACAATTGAATTAGTTCTTCTCAAGCTTTATCAGTTAATTTAAAGAAAATGTATCTCTTCTAATACAAGTTTGTAAGCATAATTCATTTCTGTAATGGAAATAAATACTACTCCTTCCAATGACTTTTCTCTGGGTGCTTGGAAATGCTGGACTGCCTGTAGGAGCAGAGGAGTAAGTCAGCTCTAAAAGACTCAGTCAGAAAATTAGGAGGCCAGAGCATGGTTTTCTTTTGGCATTACTGTACTCTAACATGAGTTAATAGCTAGAATTGCTGTAAGGATTCTGACAGATTGCCTGCTTGTAGCTTCCTGTCTTACACTGCAAGCAATAAGCAAACACAGATGCCATTAAACGTGCAATTTCTTACGTTAATTTTTTAGCTATTACTTTTTCATGTTTATGCTTTCTGAACTGCAATTTTTTTATACCTTTATCTTCACAAATCAGTTCAAGATAGATGTTTAGTCAGTGAACGGCAGATCAGAGGGGAATTCTCTTTCTCTGGGAAGTAATTCCAACTTCTAGGGTACTGGAGGGCACAGGGTAAAGGCTCAGTCATCTTGAGATCCAGGGCTTACTGACGTTTCTCACTTGATCGTTCTGCTGCTGTGGGAGTTGTAAGGCTTTCACTGCAAACGTTTTGGTCAGAGTTGAATTTCAAACCAATGCTATTCCTGATCTCCTCTAGCTAGTGAACGCTTACGTGATGACAAGCAGGGAACCTCCGTTAAACACTGCTGCCTGTCGACTTCTTCTGGATATCATGCCGGGACTGGAAACAGCTGTTGTCTTTCAGGAAAAGGTATCGTCTGTACTAAGACTTGGTGTATTTTCCTGTGGTGCTTTCCATAGGACAAACCAGTAAAAAGCCATATTGAAATGGTGTCTCTGGGAGACAGTCTGTTCAGTCTTATAAATGATCTGAGGCTTTTCAATCTTGACTTGTTCAGCTGATCAGATCTGGGGTATTATGCAGCTTTTAAGGTATAACAGGACAGATTAAAACAGAGGAGCTGGAACTTCATGGAATGCTTTGGGAAATGTTATAATTTGAATTGTTATTTTATAGGCCTGTGAATGGAGCAGGCTGGGTGGAACCTGAAGACTTGCTGTAGGTGTCTTTCCCAGTAATCCCTGGCTACGGCAAAGTGATAGCACTATTAGAGCTCACTGATAAGCGAGTCATACTTTAACTGAGCAGTCTAAAATCCACATGCTTTGTGGGGATTATCTGGAACTGTGATGGACAGCTGAATCAGACTTGTATATGTTGACAAGTGTGGTTTTCCAAAGGAATGCAAAAAGACTTGAAAGTGAGGAGAAAGTCAATTTCAGTCCTGAGTCACGGTTTCCTCATCTGTGAAAATTAATGTAATGTATTAATTGAAGTTTGGAAATCAGGTAGTGCTTTATATAAAGTTCTAAATTAATTTCTTCACCATTGGAAATATGAATGAGCTGTAAAGCATGATAAAAGGAACAAATAATGTGCTCCCTTTCTGAAAGATTGAATATAATTTGAGATCTTTTGTGGTCTCTCCAAAGGCTAAAACTGTGAGACTTTGATTCAAAAAAACTAAAGGAAAACAATCATTCCCTATCTGTGGATATAGCTTTTTCCAGAGACCGAATCTCTCTCTGAACTGAAATAGAATTTTTAACTTAAGGTTTGCACTTAAGGATTTCTTTTCTTTCTTTTGACCTGAGAGCTGTAGAGTTACGTTAGGGCACTGTGGGTGGCTGACGCCCGAGGCTCTGCTCTGGTCACACTGGCCCTCTGGTGGCCACCGTCTTCCACAGAGTATCGGGTTCAAGGTGTTACTAGTAACATAAGAGTGTGTGAATAATAATGCAGTTTTCTTTAAATGCGTAACAGGCAACTCTTCAAAGATCTGTAAGCTGAGAATTCCTCATTGAAGTGTGTGTCCATTTGTTATGACTTTGAACTGATCTTTTATTGTATTGTATCTGTGATTCAAATTATATGTAAGATTCCTGTTGCAGTAATGATGTGGTGTTGTATGGTGTTTCAAAGTAGAGATTTAGAGCATAAAAATTAATCTTTTCATTCTAAGCCATTGTCTTTAGTTGGCTGGTTTAATACGTAATTAACAGTTATCCAGCCTTGTCAAGAAAAGTTGCCTGGCAGGCTGTGTTCAAACACTGCTGATTTTGTTACTACTAAAAATATTAATCATATTTAATGCTAAGATTCTCTTCTCTAAATGTTATGGATTTTTGACTGTGTTGAGAATTGCTACTTTTGATAGTGAGTACTTGATAATGTTAAGACTTCCTCTGGCACCAGGTAGGTTCCTTATTTAAGTGACTTTTCAGTTTAGCCCTAGTAGTCTTATGCAGCTTAAAATACTAGTTTCTCTTTTTTCTGTTGCAGATATTTTTTGATACATTACATGATTGGTAGGGAATCTAGTCTGGTCATTACTAGAGATAGGGAGAATTGTAACCAACAGATACTTTCACTGGGACTGAGGAGTTAAACCTGAAATATAACTGTTGGAACTGCTTTCTTACTTTCTTCATTCTAGGAAGGCATAGTTGAAAATCTCTTTAAGTGGGCGCGAGAGGCTGATCAGCCACTAAGGACGTATGCAACAGGGCTCTTAGGAGGAGCTATGGAAAACCAAGATATTGCTGCAAATTACAGGGACGAGAACTCACAATTGGTAATGATCTCTCCATCACTTTGCTTTTTTAGATGGCACATACCTTTACTACTTTTTTTAATTACTATTTGTGTGGACCTCGCATTTATGAGTTAGTGTATGGGTCTCACAGTGGTTGTAATAATACCTGTTAGAGTCAGTAGCTCATGCTTTCCATCCTTTCCTGACAGTGCATTTGCTGAAGCTGGGGCATGTGGCCTGATTATTCTGTAGCACCAGTTGGGTTAAAAATGCCACTGGAAACCGGAGAGGGCAAATACTGTACTTTGTAATGGGACTTGCCTTTGTAGCTTCCTTAAAGAAAAAATTTCAGAATTTTTGCATTTGTAACTATCACATCGTGGTTTATGTACTGGACAGGGATTTTAAAATGAAAGGTGAATCAACATGGATACAACTTCATATGAAATTGCAGTCACTTCTATTCTAAACTGGTCACCAATTTAGAGTTGATTCTGCATGGTATTATTAGCAATTGAAATGACTTTCGAAAGAAGGTAGGATAAACAGATTTGTCTCCCAGGACTGCATGCTGTGTGTTGAAGCATAGGTGAATTCTAATTCTTACCCAGGCAATGCCTTTAAAAGAAAAAGTGTGGTGTTTGGTTTTGTGGAACTGCAATTTATCAGAGCTGCTGCTTTGAAAGGGAACGTTGCCTTTACCCCAGGCTAGGCAGAGGTGGTGGAAGGATGGTGCAAGCTGGTAAGTGGTTCTCTTAGCACCCAGAGAGCTCATTTGCTCTTGTCCGCTTTCAAGCTACTTCCCTTTCATGCATGAGACTAGGTGCTGATATTTTAGATTGAAAGCAACTGTAGCCAAAAGGATTGAAGTTTTCTTCTTCGCTTTGAAATTACTGTTTCCTCTGGGCAAATGTGCACCACTGCATACGTCATGCTGTGGAGTTAGTTGTGTGATAAGAACAAAAAATACAGGTGATGTGAGTTGCATGACCAAAGCAAGAAGTGTGTTCTCAAGCATGATTCTTTTCTGAAACAGGTGGCTTTGGTGCTTCGACGGCTACGAGAGTTACAGGTTACTGAAATGACTACAAAGCAAGAAAACAAGCGTCCCAGTCCACGGAAAGTGCCATCAGATCCTCTGCTGCCTCTGGATGAAGAGGCTGTGGATATGGATTATGGGGAGATGGCAGTAGATGGGGAGCAAGAGGAAGTTCCTGGTGACATGGAGATCTCCTTTCATCTTGATTCAAGTCACAAGACCAGTAGCAGAGTGAATTCCGCTACAAAGCTAGATGATGGGGGACTGAGAAAAAGCAAATCAGGGAAACAGCATGAAAGAGACGGCTTCCGGAAGGCCAAGCAAAAGCTGGGCTTCTCCACTTCAGAACCAGAGCGGATGTTTGTTGAACTGTCCAACAGCAGCTGGTCAGAAATGTCTCCATGGGTGATTGGCACTAATTACACACTTTACCCCTTGACTCCCGCCATAGAGCAGAGGCTAATTCTTCAGTACCTGACTCCTTTAGGGGAGTACCAAGAGGTGAGCATATGAAGGTGGGAGAAAACGCTCAGTGCTTGGATTCTCCTGAAAAAACTGAGTGGTATTGTGGGGAAAAACGTAAAACCGTTAGATTGCACTCCGACATTTCCCGATGTGATTAGGATCAGTAGGCTTTCCTGAGTTGCTGGTGACTTTCAAATTGATGAAGTCATTAGTTTGAGTATTACTTGGTAGGTAGTACTCAAATCTTGAGTCTAGCAGGTGTGTGGTCTAGTAGTTGGAACATGTCAATAGGAATTTTATTCCTGATTTCTGTTAAATTTGATGATTGTTTACATGACTCAGGGCAGGTCACTTTGTTTGAAATACAAACATTTTTCCTGTTTCCTCTGTGAGGTGTGATAGATGCCCAGAATTAAAAGTCTCAGGAGAGAATAAACTTGAAATCCTAAACAAATTGGTTTGTATAACCTCTGCAGTAGTTCTGATGAGGAATGGCAGTGCCCATGTTTTGCAAATGCTTTTGTGAGCTTTTGTTTTTACTTACATGACAAAGTAGTTGGATAGTGTGAGATTTACCAAAGTGTGTTTTGGTTGGTTTTTTGTTGGTTTTTTTTAAGCCATAAAACTCAAGTTAGTAGAAGTCTACAGGCCAGCTTTATTTCTGTCTAGTATTTTTTTAGGTGGTTTAACTTAAAGTAGGACAAAGCAACACAGTTTTACTTTGCGATACACTTCGTGTGTGTGCACGTGTGTGCCTTGCTTCTGTGAGAGCCAAAGAAACCGTTATCCCTCTAATACCCTGCATGCTGACTGGATCATTTTATATGCCAGCAATAATAGGATATAAAAATAGGAATTAATACTATAAAGCTGTTACACAAAGAATTATGCAAAAGGTTGTGGTTTGTTGCCCTGCTCTGCTGTTTTTTCTGTTCAGTTTTTGGGTAGTTGTCTTTGCACAGATGGAAAGTGGAACCTATCGCCAGGGTGGTATCTGTGTGGACTTGCAATAGATGCACTTGGAGAGAGTCTTTAAGATTTCCATGTCACAGCTGTCCTGCACCTTGCTGCAGTCAGCAGATGTATTATAAGAGGTCTGTTAACCTTTGTTGCTTCCTATGGATGGAGCTGGTTACCACTGACCTCTCGTAACAGGTACCTGCCAATAGGGGAAAACTGGGGGTTTGAGAGAGTAAAAGCCAAAACAGACCTTGTCTTTCCCGTGAAACATTCAACTAGTCTCCTGTTTTTATTTTTCTCAGCTACTACCGATCTTTATGCAACTGGGATCAAGGGAGCTGATGATGTACTACATTGACTTGAAGCGAACCAATGATGTGCTGCTCACTTTTGAAGCCCTTAAGGTAAATTACTTTCATAATGTATAAAATGTGCCATAAACACTGAAAAGGCTTTGAATATGTGGTCTGCATGTGTCAAAGCCAAATACTCACCTTCTTCAGGCCTGTGTATCTTGCAGCGTTCCCTGGGATTGGAATGGGTTTTCACTTAACTTGAATGAATTGCAGTTTTGTTCTTATATTCAAGTGGGTTTTTTTTTTTAAAAAGGGGGAGGAGGGTAAAAAGATTTAATTGTGCAGGAAGTGCTGTTAATTTCACCTGCCATCTGCCTATCTGAAGATTATTACAATTCCTTTTTCTGTCAAATGCTTGTGTTCCTGCTGCCCTTAGATGGCATTCAGTTGTCATCTCAAGGGACATTTGTGAGGGGTAAGAGGTGTTAAGCATCTTACTCTCAGAAGCCCCAGCATGACACCTCTGAGCTTAATGTTTGAAATAACCATAGTTCTGTGTCAGTATCAGCCCCCCAAGATACAAGCCACACAACCTTCTTCAAGCCAAACCTGCAGTGGAGCAGCACAATTTATGGGTGTTTTTATGTGTTCTTTATTTCCCTATTTCACAGTAACTTTTCTGATCCTCCAGTTCATCTTTCTCCCTGTTTCATTGTCATTAGTGTGAGAATTTATTTCCAAAGATACCTCCATTGGGACTGGGGTGGGGTTTACAGTGATTCTTACTGTTACTTGTTAAGGTGTTGAGAATACAGAAAAGGAGCATATAATAAACTTCAGGGCAGCTGCAGACTTCCACCTTAACAATAGCCTTTAAATTTCATTTTGTAAAATTCTTATTGTCAGCAATGTGGCATATACAAAGGATGAATGCAAATTTAAATATTTCTGGGTGATAATAGAAAGCAAGTTAATATGAAAAGGATAAGAAGACTGAAGGTGGCCTGTTGGATAATTTTTGAGCTGCTCTACTCTTCTAGTATTTCTTTTGCAAGATGCATAAAACAGTGATAGTGCCTTTTTTTGCCTGTGTCAGTGGGATAAATACTACATTCTGCAGTTAAATGTAATGGGAGAAGGAAGCAAGTGGACAAAGCAGAGGGTGCTGGTTTTTTATTTCTGCTGTCTGTTTTTCTGTGGGGCAGGGGATGGAGTTGATGACAGTTTGAAGAATTCCAGTCTAATCTTTTATCCTTCTTTAGCATTTGGCATCGCTGCTGCTGCACAACAAGTTTGCGACGGAGTTTGTTGCTCATGGAGGAGTGCAAAAGTTGCTGGAGATTCCTCGTCCTTCTATGGCAGCAACAGGGGTCTCCATGTGCTTGTATTATTTGTCTTACAATCAAGATGCCATGGAGAGGGTAAGAGGCTTTTTTTTTTACTGTAACTGCAGTGATTTTCTTAATTTCTTGGTGTTTCTACCTATGTTTAAACAGTGAATAAACATCTTCTAAACGGGAAAGTAAATTTTTATAGAAGGCTTTGGTATGTGCAGAGGCAATAGGAAGTACATAAACAAATGCATATTTCGAGTGCTTTGTTTCAAGGGTGTAAATTTCAGTTTCTAAGGAAAAAAATGAAGACCTCTCTCTTGTCAGCAGTGTTTCAATACTTTCATCTTTCATCACCCTCTTCATCCTATTATTCCCTCTTTTCTTCGTTAAAAAAAAAAAAAGGAAAAACTCCTCCATTCTCATTTGTCTTTCCCATCTGTTCAGTGGACAGATACGTGAGATTGTTTTTTTCATGCTCAGTCTCAGCATGGAGAGCTTCAGCATTAAACAGTACCTCAGCTTCCACACAGCAGCACGGCTTCTGTGGTGGTGGTAAGAGTGCAGCATTGTTCAGAAAATCAAATTAAATGACATTAAGTCTTCTCTGTGGCCTGAGCCTATAAATTTGTAAAACAGCTGATAATGAAGGTAAAGTCCCTCGCCTCGTATTTTAACATAGGAAAAAATTCTTATGAGAAATCTTCCTTTCCGTTCAGTAGTGTTCCTTCAGCAAGCATACCTTCAGACAGGTTGATAGGAAAGTCCACCCTTAAATTTTGGATTCCTAGATACTTTAAACAGCGATTCTATTTCCTATTTTATTTTTTTTTGTACTGGCAGCAGCATGTGTGTGCTAAGCCACTTCTATGACTTGATCCAGTTTATTCTAAAGTTGCTACCATGTGGGGAAAAAAAGAAGGGGAAAAAAATACTAACTTTCTGCTTGTGAGCATTACTACTGCATAGGGGAGCATCTTGCTCTAGGATTCATTAAAAACAACTGGAGTGTTGTAAAGTTAAACCTTCCAGCTCTGTTCTGTTTCCAGTGATGGCTTTCGATTTCTGACGTGTCCCTAGTGTTGTCTAACTTTTTATTTTTTTTTGCTTTTAGCTGAAAATGGAAGCAGTTAAACTAGTAGCTTACATTTCTGCTTATTCTTTCCTAGTTTTTGATGCTGTCTGAACGTGTGTTATGATCTAACATGTTTCATGCTGCTGAGCACAGAGCAACTGGGTTGGTAGCTGTTGTTTAAGATTGTATCTTATGAATTCTGCTGCTATTTGTGTTCTGCAGCATTTTGTATGAGCAAATTCAAAAACCATTTGGTAATCACAGTTGATCAGGTCTATCTGTGCCCTGTATTTCATCTCCCTTATGAAGACAAGAATGATGAAATGGGAATAATGTTCCCTCTACTTTTTTTGTCTGTTATGTCAGAAAGGTGAACCCTGGCTGCGTAAGACCTGCACGAATCTGAGAGAAGAAAAAGACCAACTCAGTTGTCTGTTACCAGAGAAGGTTGAGCTTTAGATTTGCATTTGACGATTCTTGCAGTTCTCCTAGACTTCAGTACTACCAGAGTTTGCTAGAACTTTAACACGATGTGTGATATGGTTACACTGAGAAGAATTTTTGGTTTTTTGGTGTAATCATGTCTTCCTTCTCTGCCTTCAGTGAAACATTCTTTGGATAGCTTGAAGTGATAAGGAGAAAGACTTGCTGGAGTTATACTGCACTAAGACTGCTGTATTTATTGTGTTCAGGAATAGACTGATTGCTAGTCCTACATCGCCACATCATAACCTCTCTTGGTCTCAGAGTGGCTTTCTTTTACTGGCCTGGAAACAAGACATTTTATTTCATGTCTCGGATGTCCCAAGTCAAGCTGGAAGTAACTGGTGTTTGTCATCTCTTTGCGCCTCAAAGAACGCTCGTTTTCTTTGAGCAAGTTCTCTTATGTAATCTACAGTTCTCAGGAATGTTCTTTTGCTTTCTAGGTGTGCATGCACCCCCATAACGTGCTTTCAGATGTGGTAAACTACACCTTATGGCTAATGGAGTGCTCTCACGCCTCGGGCTGCTGCCATGCTACCATGTTCTTCTCCATTTGCTTCTCCTTCCGTGCTGTCCTGGAGCTCTTTGACAGGCATGATGGCCTTCGACGCCTGGTTAACCTGGTAAGTCTTGAAGTTTTATGTAGTGAGCAGGGTTTTAGTGTCAGGTTTTGCCCCCTTTACAGAGCAACTGTGGAGAGTTCTACTCTTTGATTTTGCTTGGGTTCTTTTTCCTCCTCCGCTTCCAAGAGATTAAGAGGCAGGGTGAGTTTTCTAAGCAACATACACATGGATTCCTTTCTTATTTTTCTTATTCTGATTATATGATTATTGTTCAGAGACTTCTACCGTTTGAGAGCTTTTTTGATGCAACTGCTCCACCACGCACTACTTAAACAGTGGCGGCTTAGTGCTAGTTCAAATATTTCTTTGCCATTCCACATACATTCGTGGTATTGTCATGCACTTCTTTACACACAGACAAATCCAGCCTTGTTCCAGGAGAGGCACGACTGTGTCGATGCTGTGGTAACTGCAGTACCTTATGAGCACAAACTATACTGTTTATGTGCAAAAGCTGGTAGGTCTGCATGGTATCGCTGTGCAGTGCAGACAGCTTGGGGTGTATCTGACTTGAGGACGTCAACGCTGCAGGGTGTAAGCCCGCTTTGTGTTGGTGTAGTATAATGCCTCACAGTAGTAGGTACAGCACTGCCTCCAGATCTTCACAGATGTAACTTCTGGATTCCTTCATAGGTAGTAAAGGAGGGGGAATGGTTCTCTTTAGACTTACTGTTTATCCATGCACAGCGTTTTCTGTTCAGACGGCTTTTGTCAGCTCTTGGGCTATGCTTGTATGTCTTGTATAGCAAAGTAAGTTTGTTTGGATTTAGTAAAAGTACGGCTGAGGATTGTAAGTGCTTTTTTTCCTGAAGAGTGAGCTGATGAAACTTTTTTCTCCGCCCCC